AGCCGCCTGGAATATAGAGGTGCAGGGGTGGCCTTCCTATATGTTTTATGGGAAGTTGAGAAATGTGAGATTGTGTTTAAGGAAATTAAACAGGGAGGTTTACTCTAATATCTCTGCTAAGGCTCGGGAAGTTGAAGGGAAGTTGGAGACCTTGCAGGCTGCAGTATTGCACAACCCCACTGACTTGCTAGTTGAGGAAGAGGGGGAAATGGCCAAGGAATGTTTGGAGATCAAAAGGGCAGAAGAGAGTTTCTACAGGCAGAAAGCAAGAATTCAGAGTGTCCAGGAGGGGGATCTTAATACTGCGTTTTTTCATAAGTCTGTCAAGATTCATAATCACAGGCAGCAGATTTCAAGGATTCTGAATGCTCAGGGGGAGGAAGTAACTGAGATTAAGGAAATAGGCAAAGTGGCTGTGGATTTCTATACCAACCTTATTGGTACAGTAAATACAGATGTGCTCCTTCAGCCTACCAGTTTTTATCAGCAACTAAAACTCAAATGCCTCTCATCAGATGTGGCTGCAGGTATGATTGAGCCTATAACTAGGCAGGAAATAAAGGATGTCTTCTTCAGTTTAGGGAGGGATAAGGCTCCTGGGCCAGATGGCTTCCCTTCTGAATTTTTTAGAATGCATTGGGATCTGATTGGGAGTCTGGTGGAGGATGTGGCTCTTACTTTCTTCCAGACAGGGATAATGCCTAGGGCAGTTAATTCCACTCTATTTACTTTGGTGGCAAAGATTCCTAATGCTGAAAGAATGAAGGATTTCCGTCCTATATCTTGCTGCAATACCCTCTACAAAGGTATATCTAAAGTACTTGCCAACAGGTTAGCTGCTGTCCTTCCTTTGCTGATTTCCCAGTCTCAGTCTGCTTTTGTTAGTGGTAGATCTATTAGTGATAATATCTTACTGGCAGCAGAATTGGTTAAGGATTACCATAGGAAGAATGTCACCCCCCGTTGTGCAATCAAGATTGATATTATGAAAGCGTTTGATTCAGTTAGTTGGCTGTTTCTGTTTTCTGTGCTTGATAACATGGGATTACCTTCTCAGTTCTTGCAATGGTTGAAAGCTTGTGTTCAGTGCCCTAGAGTTAGTGTTGGTCTTAATGGGGGAATTTGTGGATCGTTTGAAATGGCTAAGGGGTTAAGGCAAGGGGACCCTCTGTCCCCTTACCTATTTACAGTTGCAATGGAAGTGTTGGATGGTATGTTGAAACAAGCTGCTAATCAGAACCAGATTCCCTATCATCCTAGGTGCAAACCACTCTCTATTACTCATCTCTGCTTTGCAGACGATTTGCTTGTCTTTACTAATGGATCAATCAGGGGGGTTGCTGGAATATGTCGAGTTTTGGATGCATTTTATTCTGTTTCAGGTCTGAAATGTAACCCGGATAAATGCCAGTTGTTCTGTGGAGGCATTTCAGAAGAGGAAAAAGTGAGAATCTCTGCCTATTCTAAATTTCCTAATAGTAGTCTGCCTGTTAGGTACTTGGGAGTCCCTCTGCTTACTGGGAAACTCACTAGGGCTGAAGGTAGGTTGCTAGTTGAGAAGATTACAAGTAAAATTACTAGTTGGAGATCTAAATATCTTAGCTTTGCTGGTCGATTGCAGCTGATTAATTCAGTCCTTACCAGTGTATTGCAATACTGGATGGGGATCTTCTTGTTGCCAGCATATGTTATTAAAGAAGTGGAGACTATCTGCAGTAGGTTTTTGTGGGACATTGATGACAATTCACTAAGGAAACGTGCAGTGGCTGCATGGTCGTTTATTGCCAGGCCTAAAAAGGAAGGTGGGTTGGGGATACGAAATTTTTCTATCTGGAATAAAGCTTGTGTTTGCAGGCATTTATGGGCAATGCTGGCGGCTGAGGGATCTATTTGGGTTGCGTGGGTTACACGATATAGAGTGAAACAGCAATCTATTTGGGACTTAAAGGAGGCTGCAGCAGGGAATTGGATTTGGAAGCGATTACTGAAGTGTAGGCAGCAGGTTAGGCCACATATTTCTGTGGTTAATTCCGAGTTGAAGTGGGATGGTGTAGTTATGCCTTCTTACTCTGTTTCGAGGGTTTGGGACTCGTTGAGAGACAAAGAGGCTGAAATTAGTTGGTATAAACTGGTTTGGGACAAGCATATTATTCCTAGGCATGGGTTTATTTTATGGTTGGTTATCAATGATAAACTCAAATTGAAAGATAGGCTCATTGCTTGGGGTAAACCACTGACTGGTGGATGTTTGTTATGTCCTGGGGGTGTGGAATCTCGGAATCATTTGTTTGTGGACTGCCCTTATACTCAGTATTTATATAACAAGATGCTGGGATTGGAAGCTCCACCTGTATGCAGCTGCTGGGATGAGTTATTGAGTTGGTGTGTGCTGCATTGGAGTAAAGATTCTCCTGAAAATTTCCTAAACCGGATGAGTTGGAGTGTTGTTGTCAGTTTGGTATGGCGGGAAAGATGTTCGAGACTGTATGGTTCGATTGCGGCTAGAGATCCTCAACAGCTTATACTGACTGCTAGAAGAGTGATTAGGGGCCGTTGTCTCTTAAACCAGTGTCTGATCAACTGTTTTACAGCTAGGAGGCTTGGGGTAGATAGATGATAGTTTGTTTTTGATTACCTTATTGGGGGATTGATGTACAGGACTGTTAGTTGCTGATGGCTCCATAGCGTTTTTTGCTATTGGTGTCGGGTCTTAATGCATTTTGATTTAACCATCAAAAAAAAAACATCAAACGGCCGCGGAACCAATCTCTCCGCCTCCAAAACCTCCTCCGCTTTCACCTTCTTCGTCGCCACCGATCCCTTTCCCTCGCAGCATCCATTTCTCAAGGCCTGCTCTCATCCTCCTTCAGAAATAGTGAAAAACTGCTGTATAGGTTCACCATCCCAGTTGCCTCGTTGATGTTTGCATTAATGCCCCAACCAGATTGGGGGAAAGAAGACGAGGACCATCCTGGTCCGCTGCTGCCGCCGCCAATCCCTCGCTCGTCGCTCGCCGTAGACGTCCTTAGCTACCACCGTCTGGACGGGTGGATTCGCCGTGTAATCCGGACTGGGGAAAATCGACTCCACGCAGTAACATGGCACAGAGAATCTCCCGCCGTTGTTGGCGTCCGATTGGGTGAGAGTGGCGAAGGAAGCCGACTTCTCTTGGACTCCACTGCCGATTTCGTCGTCAAAATCGAGCTCCTCATCTGGCGGGAGAGGGATGAGGCTCATCTTGTGTACACCTCATTGGTTTCCGGATCGGTGAGGAACCTCACGACGGTGACCCAACAGGGGATGGAGGCCGGGATTTTGGCGCCACAGCGGAGAAGGGGAAGTCGGCGGGGGATTGGCAGTGCTCCGCGTTGCCTTGTGGGAAATAAAAGAATTTTTTTTTTAATGATGAAAATAATGAGTTGAAAATTTTGAAATATTTAATTTTATTATTTTTTAATTGTCACGTCATATATTTAATGTTTAACTTAAAGAGTTGACTAGCACATAAGCAAAAGCTAACGGAATTGGATGGAGAGTGACCAAACTTGACATTTTTTAGTAATTTCAGTGGTCACAAATGGAATAAAATATTTTTAGTGACCAATTATGACATTTACCTTGTGTTTTTCATTGTTTTTTGTTACGGATTTCATAGTAATTGACGTCATTTTTTGTTTTGATTTTCAAATTGCTGGCAAGTAATTACCATCAATTTGGGGAGGTTATTAGAGTATGTGTAGTACGAGTAGTATTATGTTATACTACGAGTACTGTTGTGTAATTGGTCAGAATTATATTAATTATCAGAGTCGTATTAGTGTTAGAGTTTTTATAAAAGTCAGTTCCTATATTCTTTATAAATCCTACGTGGTTTCCGTAATAATATAGAACAATTTTCAGTGTATTTTGATTTACCAACATCTCTTCATTTTGCTTGTTTTACCATTTTTCTTATTTATCTTGCAGAGGGAGGGGAGGAGGGTCATAGGCTGATAGGGTTGGGTGAGAGAGTGAAGCGTCTACTGGAGGAAATGGATGAGTCAGTAATTTTTTGCAAAGAAACAAGGAGGCAAGGGAGAAATTAGTGAAAATTAAAAATATATGAGTAGTGCAATACAAGTGGTCAAATCCGGAATTGGAAGGGGAAAGGGGAGGTCACATCCACTAGATTTTATCATCGTCTCTCTACTTCACCTCACCTCTTCTCTTCTTTCCACAGTGTGATGTGATCTATTTCACTTCACCTCTCATTCCTCACATATTCACTTTAGTACACTTTTCATGATAAAATAAATAACTAAGAGGGTGTGATATGCTGCGTGTATTTGAAAAATAAAGTTTTGATTAAATCCTGAGTATTATAAAATAAAGAATTCATGATGAAATTAGTTCATTTGGTTTTAAAAAAAAATCACCCTTTATTTGTTGGATTTTTTTATGAATTTTGCGTAGGGGTCGTTTGGATGAGGAATTCTAATTGATCAATCTGACATAATTGTCTCGCCAATTGTGCTAGATTGATCCGTTTGACAGCACAAAATTTGGATGAAGCAATTTGGGCTGGGGAGTTCTGAATTGATTCATTTTGAGCCAATGACAATTGTCTGGGGTGGAGATAGGTAATCTGAAGTGACTCGTTTTAAATGACTCGTTTTATAAAATGAAACAATTGGTCAAATTGTCTCGTTTTAAAATTGATCCATCCAAATGCCCCTTAATTATATGTGGTTATATAATGAATTCGCCTTATTGTTCTTATTACAGTTTTGTTGTAGACCAATTCTCATCTTATAAGTGGGGATGAAAGACTAAAGAAGCATCATGGACTTGAGACCCTAAGACAAATCTCACACTTTTGGATTTGGATCGAAATTTCAAGTTCGTGGAGTGCACGGATTTGGACCCTCAAAGTGCAAGCGTCCCACGGATTCATTCCTCCTAATTCCATTAAGCAAACAATGGATTGTGTTCAAAGTCCATGAGGGTTGGATTTTATGTACCAAAAATATGATGAAAACCTTCAAGCAAACGAGGCCTAAAGAAAAGGGCAAAAAGGGTATGGTTTTCTCCTAATCTCCATTAGTATAAAACTATAAATTTCATCAATTTAATTAGATAATTTGCTCATTATTTCACGTTTTTGTCAATAATAGACACTTTTTGAAAAATACACAAAATAGCCACTTCTGTCCAATTCTTTAACGATATCATCTAACAGACGGATTGGACTAATGGAAATACTGATATGGCAACATTTTGTTTGCCAGGTGGATTTAACTTTAAAAGTTAAAAAATATGAAAAAATAAAAATGAAAATAAAAAATCTCCTCATCTTCTCCGATGCCCTATCTCTCTAGGTTCGGCGGTGACTAGCAGCCACCTCTCCTTCTCTTCACCTTCTGCCACAGTCTCGACCTGAAGGAAACCATCTAGTCTCTGCTCGGTGTCCCCGTCGCGGGACAGAGGTTGTTCCATAAGGACCAGTCAATCCAATCGTGAAAGTTGGAAGTAGAGAAGAAGAATCATGCTCCTCCTTCGAAGACCACAACCGCAAGTCGGCCTCTAGAAGAATCGTGCTTGTTTGTGCTCTCCCTGCAAGTCCGCCATTAAAGTTTCGAGATTTGGGTGGCGATTGTTATTCCGCGATGAGTTCCGGATCGACAGGAAAACTAAAAGCTTCTGCTAGCGCATTCGTTTCAATTGATTATGATTCTCACTCCCAGAAAACATCCACTGCTGCTGAGGCTTCCGCAATCAATATCCCTCTGCGGGATCTCCCCTCTGCCCCTGTTGGGATGCCTATTGTCTAGAACTTTTATTCCTGGTTGAAATTGTAAAAGGTGATGTTGGTCACAGAAGAAGACAAATAAGAAGGAAGGAAGAAAACGACGGGAAGGGGGTATGGGTTGGGGGTTGGTTGGTTGGTGGGTGGGTTGGTCACCTCTCTTGGCTATGCTTTCATCTCCTGATCGAAGGAGAGGGAGAGACTAGAGAAAGCCTCTCTTTTTAATAGAAAATTGCTGCAGGGAGGTGAGTTTAGGGATTTGCGGTGGAGGAGGAAGCAAGATTTCCGAAATCTTCCCAGATCTGCACCGCCGCCTAAATCGGAGGAGGGAGACGACCGGTAGGGAATAGGGGAACTTCAGGAAAAAATATTTAATGTTTTTTATTTTCAAAATTAATTATTTTTATTATATAAAATGACGTGGCAATGATATGATGACTTGTTGCTGACGTGTGAGATGATTTGGCATCCTAGTCAGTCTAACGTTAACTTAACTAACGGAGTTTCTAACACCGTCAAAATTCTAGCTATTTTGTGTATTTCTCCAAAAATGGCTATTATTGTCACAAACTTAAAAGTTTTGGTTACACATATGTATTTTGCCTATAGTTAAAAACAAACATATATCACCTTAAAATATATCTTATGGGTACGGTAGACTAGCATACGCCCGGACGTACGCTAGACTTTGTCATATATATTTGACCGATCTTTCGGCCATTATACTATACTCTAACCCTTAAAGATCAAAATCTAGGTTTTAATTCTCTAAATCTTATACTCCAAAATCAATTTAATTAGAAATAATAATCGACGGTTATGATCCGTCCAAATATAGGCTAAAAAATGATTGCACCATCTTAGGATTTATAGTTTATGATTTAGATAATTGGGACCTAGGGTTCACTCATTAAAGGTTTGTGTAAAGTACCAGACCCAAAAATCCTACTAATTCGAGGTATATATAGCATTTTCATCTTTAAATTATGCGGTAACTCGGATTTCACCAAGGGTATCGTAGAAGCCACCATATATATTATAAAAAAAGACGATAGTAATAAGTAAACCAAATCACTAATACGTGATATAAGTGATGCCACTGGAGTGGACTTGACTACCTACAACCAGGATATGATGGCAACGAAAAGGTGCCCCAATATCGAACACCATCAGGGCATTGCGTCAACTTTAATTCAAAATTTACTGTCATCCCTCTCTACCTTTCCCCTCGATGTGAAGCTCCCCAGGGCTACCGCCGGTAGTAGCCCATCCTCTTTTGTTTCATCCTGCTTCCTTGTCTTGGATTTTAATGTTTTTCACTCTGCTTTTCCAGCTTTCAAGCCTTTCAAGCCATTCTTGGCATTTCGCTCCCCTGTTCTAGGGTTTTTTGCTGGGATTTGCTCTCCTTAGGGGCTGGGCTATGCATCTTGGGTCTTCTCTCAAGATGGTCGGTTTATCACATTATGTGGTGAATCGGTTCTCTGGTTTTCCCCTTCGTTCTTCCCAGGTGGTTGTTCTACATCTAGGTGGCCGAAGGAGGATGGATTGCAGTGTCTAGCATTGCTACTCGTGGGTTCAGTTCTTTGATATGGGGATTTGGGTTCTTCTGCTCCCCTTGACCAAGTCTTGGAGCCTCGTCTTCCCCTGCCTCTTCAGCTCGGAGCATTTCGATCCTCATCTCGGTCCACCGCCATGTAATCTCTTACCCCTGATTCACCGTGTTGAGCGTCTTCGAGCGACTCCCAGGAGGCGGCTAATGACATTGTGTTCAATCGTCATGGACTCGGTCGGATCGGACGAGCTGATTGCGCTTGGTGCTACTTCGTTTGTTTTGATTGCAAGAGAGCTTTCGGTGTTTACTGGTTTTGGTTCAAGTGTTTCAGATCCTTTGTTGGATGGCTTCTTCTGGGTTGTGTGCTTTTCTTGTTGTATCTCTTAAGCGCAGATTGAGCATCTATGTGCTTATGTTTGCCAGTCCTTGTTCTAATTTTGGTTTGCTTTGTTGGCTCTCTTGTAATCGATCATTCAAAGTGCAATGCAAGTAATCCCTATGTAAAAAAAGGTGCCCCAATATTCTCCTTCAGTGCCTAACAATATACAACAGGTTATTATTTTGGATTACCGATATTACTGTACCCAACAGGTTTCTATAGGGCAGATTCACTCGTATGCCAGTTCTCTCGCTTCAATTCACAGCAAGTTAATCACAACAAGATGCTTGATTCCTCTTATTCATATACACATCTATTAGTTATAGACTTATAGTACTACTCATTTGTTTGTTATAATACAGGTTATATATGACGTTTCGCTGCTTATAATCATCTTATACAACGATTTCGACTCTGTATTCAAAAATCTCCATGCTACTCAAAAGTTTGCTTTCACGTCAGGGCATTTTCACGAATGGTTTCTCAATGGATGGATTTTCCTCATGATTTGGAGTGCTATACGTCGAGTGAGATCCGACAACATTATTTAAATTGTTAGTTTTTAAATATTATTATGAATGAAGTCTATTAATTTTTTATTCTTCCTCGTTTCGTTCGTGTCACTTTGCTCTTCGGAGCTCTTTCAAAGCTGCATATTTAATGGCAAAACATGTTTTTTCATCGATAGTCTGGTTGCATACAGACTACTGTATATACGGACTACTGTATATAATTCTTATTAGTTTTGTATTGGAGTTGTTCGGTCATGCCCTCTTAACTTATTTTGGATAAAAAAGGTCCACCACTCAATCTTTGATTCATCCTGACAGAGATGTTTTAAGAGGAATTTGCTTATTGTTGCAATTCAAACTCAATCGGAATCAACTCGACCTATCTGTGTCTTGCTGTTGAAGAAAAGAAGTCTGGTGATCAAGAAATGAATAATGCAGGAGAAAATATTAAAATAGTTATATTAATTATTTGAAGATGTTAATTATTTTTTTCACCAAACTAAAGTTAATTTGTGAAATAAAATTTATGTTCAACGGTATACAATACATTATAATGTATAGTTAAGCAATATTATTTAGCATTTTTTTCGCTAAGACACTAACGTTTTGTGAGATAATTATTGTGTAGCGGTACAAACAAATTAATTGTAAATTATTAATTTTGTTCTCTGTTTCATGAACTCTTCTCTTGAAACTTGTTAGCTAACTTTTATCCTAATAAGTTGTCTAATAATGCTAGTTTCGTGCAATAAAAAAGACAGATAACACTCTTTAAAATTGAACGAGTCTACGAATCATAAATGATTATTTTGAAGGATGAATTTTGAGTGATGTTTTGAATAGTTTGGACAGTAATTATATTTTACAAAATTCTCCTAGTATGAGTGATACTAATTGATAATAACAATTATTTTATCATACAATTTTCTGATAAAATTTGACTCACCTTACAAAGAATTCTGACTATACCACTGAAAATCAAATACAAAGTTGGGTCTGAAGCATCAATGCCCCAGCCTTTTGCCAACTACTTTGTTTTCTGTTATTTCTTGTTAGTGTTAAATTGCTTGTTTCAGTTTGGAAACAAGTGATATATATGTGTTAGTGTGCTGCACTTACTCTATTATAAATAATTTTTTTTGAAGATTCTGTATATGTCACAAATATTGAAAATCCTAATTAAAATTTGGCTTGTAAGTTTCACTTTCAAATTCATATTTCCACCAGTGCTCGCTTACAATGCATCCAACTTGGGACGTCAAATAGAGTTGGCTAGGTATACCGAATTCCAAAGGAAGGTTCGTTGAGTTTGTTTAAGAAAAACGCCACAATTTGGGTTTTAAGAGGACAAAAACATTGTAGCTTTTGTTCTTGGTTTTGGGTAGAGAGGCAGTCCATCGATTCATCTTAACTAGGTTGGGGTTACGGCTTGGAAATGGAGTTGCATGCCAGCTTGATTCCTAGTTGCGATACAATCAAACAGTTAGCAGCCAAAAACATACAAGTAAGTTGATGTTACAGGACGCATGAGTTTTTGTTTAAAAAAATTGTGTGCTGTTTTCTTTGTGCGGTATGTAGTCTAGGGTATGAATCCGAGTTGAAATTAAGTGCATTATTTTTAGAATAAATTATTTTAAAGTATATTTCATTTATAGTGTTTTTATGACATTTAAAATGATAAAAATACCAAAATATAATTTTGTGGCAACGTACTCTTAGTTCTCTTCAAGACAATGAGATCAATCTCATTCAATGAGCATGAATAAATATTTATTGTTTTTTTATACCGAAACTTACGTGTCTCGTAGCATAGGCAATAGTCAATACCATGTGTATAAAAGTGGTGGGTAGGACCATCTCTATTTACGGGTATAAAAGTTGGAAATATCATTTTTTATACCCATTTGATCTCCAACCATGGATATTAAGGGTGTTAATGTTAAACTTGGAGGCCTGGCTGAGGGGTGAGAAACTAATACTCCACCCACTTTTACAAGTTCCCACGACAGACCAAAAAGGACGGGCGGGGGCTAGGGAAGCCTTCTCCGCGTGTGGGCGGCACCGCTACCCCTTGCGTGCATCCATCTTAGTTATTTACTAGCTTATTACCCGGCCCGTTGGCCGGATTACTGTATGTTACCCACTTGTGGAATGAGAGAGAAAGCAAGTGAGAGTGAAGGGATTGGGATTCCACTTGATTAGGACCGACCCACTAATCTGATTCTTCCCGACCCGCCCCAACCTAAAGGGTCAGAAAGAGTCAATAAGAAAATACGAACGGAGAGGATTAGTCATATATCTTGACTCTTCAGAAGTGGGTTAAATAGGATCAAGGTTGGGTGAGGGCAATTTTTAGCGCTAAACAGAGTTCTGGGTTGAATAACTTTACTTAGGCCTAGAAATTGGTGCTGATGCAGACTGCAGTTTTTATTATACCATCATCAATCATCATTGAATTAGTCATGGGCATCCCTCCCCGTTGTCGGTCTGAATTCTAATGATGACTTCATCCCTTGCACCAGCCATATCAGCGAGTTGTCATCTCGAGCATGATTTGCCTATGTACAAATGATACAATTAGAGTATGAAACTGGATTCAAAGAAAAGGAAAAGAGAATTCTATCACATGCCAATAAATACACACATAATAGTTGAAGCTAAGTGAAAGTCATTACTCGCACATCAATTCTCAAAAATTACAGACTAAACAATGGCTAGAATGGCACTGAAACTACCAAGAATCATGGACGAAACAACTTGTCAAATTAAATAATACTTATACTGAAACTACCTTCTAACTTGAAATAAGACATGATCACAGTTCATAGCACTCTTATCACTATGAATTGGTTGCAGCTCGTCCTTATCACTGCCTCCCAAGCTCAATTCAAACAGAATAGAGACCGTTATGTAAGATAACCATATCCTTACTGATCATAATTCCTTTCTTCACTCCATTTTTGTCGGAGAAAAGAGTTATCCCTCTCTCTTCTCCCTCTTCTTCACAAACCGATCCCTAAACCAGCAACAACACAAAAATAGCCTTCACCTCTGCCATCTCCATCTACTGAACGCGTTGGTGGCAAGACAGGACTGCAGAAGCAAAATTTTCTAAAATCAAACTAAATTTTTTGAAGGAGACTCAACCACGAAAAAAGAGTAAAGCAACCATGCTAATAGTTCAGATGGTTGGTTTTGATGTTATACGTTGCTTTTGTTATGGTCTCCAGTATATCAACTGCAACAGAGATGTTTCCTCCAATCATCTTTAGTGCACGATTTAGAAGTAACTCCTCTTGTTTGTGTCAAACGGAAACATTCATGGGTTCTTAACTTCCCTGTTAGTGTAAATGCAGCAGCAGCAACAAAGAAGTTTGACAACACAGCAAGCACCCAGGCAAAATGATACAATGCAGTAGGTGATATGTGTCTCGAAGGTTTTGAGTTACTAAAGTTCATGTTAAAAATAAACATGAATTAAAATGGATTATTCTATTAAGCAAACATCCCCTCTAATCATACAAAGATCAGATATCCAATTCACAAACAATTAAGCCATAAAAAATCATCACACATCCACCACCTTTGATTGCCTAAATTTGGTTTTTCGCAAAGTTATGGACTCTTAAGGGTAACGTTCATGGGTAGTCTGTTTCATAACTCTAGAGAGCACAGTAAGCAACCACCATCCAGACACAGTGCGGTAGGCGAATATGATTCTCAATTCACAATTTCTCACCACCGGAAGTAAGAACAGACCATAATAAGCGTAGCGTTCATGGGTGGTCTGTTTCATAGCACTATTACACAATTTGTTAAAAAAGAAAGAAATGTATTTAGCATCACGGCGGAACAACTTTTACAGGCGAACAACGACAACATGCTGCAACCACCAAAACTGGTATCACAACTCATAGGGAAAATCAAAAGATTTACTCTCAAATTAAGTAGTTAAAACATCGAGCAATCGTCAAGCACATACACCATCACAAAAGTCACGGAACCTGATTCACAAATCATTCAAACATTTGAGGACATTTCTGCAAAGGTACAACTTATATGTCTTTTTCCAAGCCATTTCCATCCACATGCTAATAAATTTGCAATGCATAAAACAAACGGGCCAAAACTTGAAATTTAGCCTGTTTGACCGACCCATGCCAAATTCTAATTATTCTTTACTTTTAAACTTTCTATTTGAAAATAAAAATAGTGAAAGAAAAGAGACGAATACAATTCGCCATTTGCACATCATTTATTCGGGAATAAAACCATAGAAATTCAAAAGGAACTGAAAATGTTTAGGATCGTTTTAATGTTTAAAATAACCAAATAGATCTTTATGTTTAGTTTTTTACTAACAAATACCAAACGATTCCCTATAAAATACACTATAATTTGATCATTATGATGTCAAATAATTATAAAATATATATTTGAAATGATAAAAATTGGACTAATTGGGTTGGTCGAGGTTGAACCATTGAATAACTTTAAAATACATTATATTTTAGCCACTAAGATATAAAATAATAGCATAATATATATTATACCAGAGAAAATAGCTTGTTTTAGAATGGCAAACCAATGATGTTCATTTGTTTTACTTGATGGCCAAATCCCATGTAGGTCAGACCCATTCAAATCTTTTATTTTATGGTTAGCGGTTAGCCCATTAGATACCATGCATTAGTTTATTGTTAAATTTTTTATTTTTAACAATAAAAAGGAGTATTATTTTTGCCTTTTCATATATATTTTATCACCACGGAGAAATAAAAGGGTATAAAGAAAAAAATTGACACTCCTGGACCCGTTTAAATCTGCATGTATACGGTAAGTTGGCCCGTTCCACAGAGGAAAGAGAAAAAAAATTGACACTCCCTATTCTACCCTTCCTACAAACGCTCCTGGAGCAGGGAATTTGAAATGGGGGAAGAGTTTTTTCCACCCTGCTATTATATGTTTTTAATTTAAAAGGATACAACAAATGTACGTAGTGTGATTGGTTATGATCCTTGCCTTTCTTTAAAATGGTCATGGTTCGAATCCCAGTACGTAACTTTTTAATGAATGAAAAAAAGTAATTGTGAAGACCAAAATATCCTTCCTACTTTCACTCTCGTTGCAGGAAATTTGAAATGGAGCTCCCGTTTTTCCCTTTGGTGTATTATATTATGTGTAGATTTATTTTTTTTTTTAATATTTTCGTATGGTCTGAACTTTGACCAAAATAAATATCATGACCAATCTTTTTTATCTATAACATCATGGCCCGAACTATACACCAAAATAAACAATTTGACCAGATCCGACTTTTGACCGTTAACTTGGACGGTCAAACGCGTTGACCGTTAGTCAACGCGTCATGTCACTGCCAAGTCAGCATAAAATATTTAAAATAATTCACAATTTCCACACATTTCCTAATTTTAAATTATTATAAATTAAAAAAAAAATCATCTAATACCTTAGTTAAACCAAAAATAAAAAATGAAAAAATTAAATATTTATCAGATCTTCTGACTTGGCAGTGACGTGGCGTGTTGACCGTTAGTCAACACGTTTGACCGTCCAAGTTAACGGTCAAACATCGGGCCATATTTTGGTCAAAGTTCAGGTCATACAAAAATATTAACCCTTTTTCTTTTGTTATTTATGTAATGTTCTGCATTCATTTTTGTGTGTGTTTAGGGTTTCATTAAGTTGAGATTTGTGGTATGTTAAAGATAATATAATATTTTAACAAGAATTTTCATTAATCAAAATTTAAACAATAAAGAATTTGTTGAAATATTTATTTTTGAAAAATGAACAAAATGAAAAAAAATACATCTAAAATTGTTTAAATAATAATGACGAACCATGAAAAGGTCAAAGTAAAATTAGTATGCATATAAGTTTTGTGTTAGAAAATGAAAAGTGAAAAGGTGAGGGTGTAATTAGGATAAAAAAATAAAGTTGAAATTGAAAACTTATTAGTTTAATAGACATATACTTGGAGTTGGTCTAAGGCTCGATCTATATATAGAATAGAAGCAGAATGTGTGTATGTGCAGATCGAGGTTTCCTCATCCCGTAGTATCCATATATGGTACGTGTTAGTTGTTGAGGGTTTGATTTTGTGAACCGGACCCAAATAGAATGATAGCAACGGGCTGCTTTATTGGTATTTCGGGTAAATGACGGTTGCTTTCCAACTTTACGCACAAGATAGCGAAATAGACAGGGAACTGGAAAAAGGAAAGAAAGACAGACCCGAAATTCAAACTAATCGCCACCTGCGTTGAACAATGAACCTACAGTTCATATATGGACCGGACGTCTCCCTTTCTGTCTCGGTGATTTGGTCGGTCTGGTTTCCGTGTCTTACTTCGACACTCTCACTTCATCTGATGTTATGTTAGTAACCACTGCCTGATCACCCCCATTAATCATTATGTGCACACAACAAAAGAAGGGGCCAATCCAAACCCAACCGGCCACCTCCAAACCCAACAAAATATGTAAGGGGTCATTTGGATAACGATTTGTAACGGATTAATTTGAACCAATTTTTGTATCGTTTAGCAACAATCTGGCCAAATTGATCGGTTTCACTGCATAAAATTTGAATGAAGCAATTGGACTTCAAAATTTTCAATTTGACTCATTTTAAGGCAATTACAATTGTCTGGGATGAAGACAAATAATACGAATTGACTCGTTTTAAATGACTCATTTTGTAAAATGATACATACAATGGGATTTTTTCATTTTTCAATTGATTCATCCAAACAACCACTAAACCGCAAAATCACAAAGTAAAGAAGGCGGGTTAGACGCTGGCAGGGTGGGCCCACAGAGGCATTCGTCAATTGATAACAGCCTTGGTTAGATCTATTTGTCAATATAATAATATTAATTAGTATCCATATTGTTAATACATCTGTGTTGGCAAATTGCATGGCTATCATCGCAAGACTTGTACTTGAGATGATATTTTACTGCCCCCAAATCTGCGACCTGCTACCACTGCTAACACCTCCCCAGAAAGAAAAGAAAAAAAAAGGAAAATGATTTATTTAATAATAATAATAATAATATAATAAGTAATCAAAGGAGGGAGTGAGAGCGACCTGATTGTTTAACTTTAATCCTCTCCTGATCAGCTGTTAGACTAACTTAATTTAATTAATTTGCAGACTAATCTTTAATTGCAAATTCGACACATGTGCATGCCTAATTATAACAATCTGTCTCACCATAAGAGACACTAACAAAACCTAATTATCAAATTAATTAGGGCACTATCTGTATCAACTAGTCCCCATCTCTTTTCTTCCATTTTTTTTTTTTTTTTTTGATAATCCTCATATGATCATCAGGAGCCAGCTCGTAAGTCCAGCCAGAAATGGAGAATTAAAAAAAGGGGGCAATATTTTCTTTTTCTCCTGTTTGTGTGGTATCAAGTCGTCATGTGTATCTCATGATCTGTGGAGCGCCTGACGAGGGAGAAGTCTAGTTATCATCTACTGCAGAAGAAGTAGGCTCGGCCACCACCGACGAACACTGATATTCCGGCTGCCACTCCATGTTCACACCGAACAGCCTCAGCATCTTGCCTCCACTTGGCTCCTCCTCTCCTGTACCATTCATTTTTCATCCCCACATTAATACTAATACTATTGTTCTTCCCCATAAATAAACAACACATACTAATAACATACTTTTCACAAACCATGATATTTATAAATACCCCAACTTGCCCCTCTTTTTTCATTTTAATTTAATTAATTAACAAGAATGACCATGAACACGGCCACGTGAATTTCTCAACACACCTGCCCAACATTTCAACTCCTAGCACCACATTTTTTTTTTTTTAAAGTTGAAAATCTGAACCGGAAAAATGAAAATTAAGGCTAGGCTAGAACCACCACATTCCTCCAAGTTAATTGGAAGGTGTTCCTCACGCCCACTTCGATGTAAGTGAACTGAACTCACCACCCAATTATTATTATTATTGTCACCAAATTCAGAGCAAATTGCAAACTGAGGGGAGAAAATATTTCTTAAAAAAAAAAAGAAATGATTTTGGAAAATAAATAAATGGAAAACGAGGGGGCGAGGGAGAGGAAGGCAAGTGCTGGAAATTATGAATATGAACAAAAAAAGAAAAAAAAAGAAAAAAAAGGGGATTACCTGGTTCATCAACACACTCAGGTTGTTGGTATCCCACATTATTAGGCCGCATCCCACCACCGCCACCGTCTTCCAGATAAGGCTGCGCCGCCGTCGAGCCACCAACCACTCCTCTCCCCCACCCCACTCCGCCGCCGCCGCCGACCGCCTGATTGTAATGCTGTTGACTATAATGATGAGAATTAATATTGGTATTATTATTATTATTATTATTAGCGCTGCTGCCTCTCCTCCTCCAGGCAATGAAGAGCCTGTGGGCGTCGCTGCGGTGGCGCTGGAAGAAAACGACGTCGCCGGCGTCCAGCTGCTTCTCCTTGACGTAGCGGCTCCAGCCTTTGGTGAGCACGTAGCTCTGGCTGCTGTTCCAGTAGGAGTAGCGGAACCGCCAGCATTTCCCGGACTCGTCCTCGAAGCTCAGCAGCAGGCCCTTCTCCACCGCCTCGCCCGCCAGCGGGAAGTAGCGCTCCGCGTGCTGCTTCGGTATCACCAGCCGGTTCAGCTTCCCCACGTCCGACGGCGTCAGCGGCTTCTCGAACATCCCTTCCTTGTCTACTTCTACCACTCTTTCCGCCTCCAATTCGTCGTCGTCGTGGTGGTTGAGATTGAAATTGAGGTTGGCGGAGGAAGGAGGAGATGGGTTCTGGATTTGGTTTTGGTTTTGGTTTTGGTTCTGGTTTTGGTTGTGGGCGGCGGAGAGCCAATTGGGGATGTTGTGGTGGTGGGGGGCCGGCGTTGGCCAATTGGATGGGTGAGATTGTAATTTGGAGGAACAAGGGGAAGAGGAGTTGGAGGAAGATGAAGAAGCGTTTGGGATTGGGTCCATTTGTTGCCACCACAACTGCTGTTGCTGCTGCTGCTGTTCGGATGGGATTTGGTGGTAGAAATTGTTTATGGACATTTTGGGAAGCTAGAACAGGGGAGAGTGAGAAGAAGAAGAAGAGAAGACGAAGAAACCAAAAAATGGAACTTTGCGGGGAGGGGAGGAAAGGGGAGAAGGGAGGAACTGATGAATTTATGGAGGAGGGCTGTGGTGGTGGGGAGGAACTTATTTGATCAAGACAGACAGACAGACAGACAGAGATAGAGAGAGATGATGGAAATAGGGGGAAGGAAGAAAAGGGCAGAGAGAGAGGGGGAGGTCTTTTTTTGGTTTATTTTGTTTTCTGTTTTGATTATTGGTTATTTTGTTTGATATAAATTTGGGTTCTATATAGAGGTGAAAGTACGACGCTACTTTAAGGTTTGTCGTGGCGAATAAGATTCAGTCATCGCTTCCTCTAGATAACCTTGGTTGATATTCAGGTAAATTTTGGTTATCGTAATTGAAAAAATCGACAATGGATGTCGATGAATCAAGATTTATAATTTGATCACTAGAAAAATTATATATATATATATGGTATAAAGTAGAGATGACATCGGGTTTGGGTGGGCTGCTTTTCTTAAATACTATTCCTAAATCACGATTTAATATCATAATCATCTTCCTAATCAAAATCAACGTGTATGTGGTTAGGGAAAAACCCACTCACACCAAATTTTTTTCTTAGAATGTAAATGTTGATTGAAGTTTTTTTGTCGCACGATTTGTAAGATTGAGAGAAAATGAGTAAGATTTGAGGTATAAGAGATAATTATAATGTTTGAGAGATACGGATGAACAAATTTTTTGGGTGAGCGAGTCTAAACATAGTTATAATACATATTCGGGTGGGTTTAGTGTGGATACTAAAATACCAAAATCGCTTCAAATTCATTGCCCTCCTTATCGAGTTCGGGAAAAATCCATCTAAAGATAATATCGGTTGGTTATCCACGATGATGAGTTATTTTGTCATCCCTAATCTAAACTCAATATTTTTTTTTATACCAATCAAAACATTTCGACTTAATTAGGCACAACGACTATCACCATTAACTTTTGGTGATAAAGTGGAAAAAAGGTGAAGGAAAAACAACTATGAGCATTATTCTTTGTCTTTGGCGTGGTGAAGTGCCGCGTAAAAAAGAAAAGGCAGGTATTTGAACCAAAATCAGACCCCTTTTGGAGGGACAGTGTTTGAAGCTTAATTAGCTAAGATGGGGGAGAGCCGAAGCTTAGTATGCTCTGTTGCAAAGTTAAGAACACGGAGAGAGGGAGCCAGCGAAAGCGCTATGTTTTTCCGTTCTTCTTGAAGCACCGCGGAAGGACCATGCTAATGATGCTTTCTCTTGTTGTTGTGGTGATAATTAGTTAGGAAGTAACGCGTTTGTTCAGGTATTGGTTCAACCGAGGTGGAAGAAAGAAAAAAAGCTAGTTGGTTCAAGAAGGACATGATATGTACCTTGGATACGTGAATCTTTTCAAAAAGTAATCATAAGTACAACGTTTGGGAAATCATTCCATTTTACATCTTCTAGCTTCCTAACATATTATTGAAAAAACGAATACATGCCCTTCTAGATTCCAATTCTCTCCTCACATCATTAGCTATATGCACGGTTCAACAACGTGCTAGGAAGGCGTTGGGACACTGCCAACACCTAGCACGTCAAGGCGGTGTCTCGACGACTAAGTCTTTTGGCAAAAATAATGATTTTAGTAAATATAACAATTTTATGGTATGTTTTTACTTTAGTTCAATTTCAAATGATTAATAACTTAGCTAACCCTCAATAATAATCGAAATATGGGATATGACCTAGAATTGAAATTCTAAATCGAGGAATGAGTGAAGAATGCGTTCAATATAGGATAGTTGGGGATTGCGTCATTTTGAGAAGATAAGCTACTATTTTTTTAAATCCTTGGTAAGCTAGGGCAATTAAGCGTGCAATTCACTTCGATTAATCGTGCCTCACACAATTAATCATTCCTAGTTTCGCCTAAGTGTAATAGCGCCTAGTGCCTAGGCGAGGTGTTTTGTCACTGCCTAGTGCATAGGAGCGCCTTTTTTTTTTGTCAAAAGATATCATATATTAATCCAGTCAAAAAGATAGTTACATCCTGGATAGCAGCCAGGCCCTGAAATCAAAGAAACGATTTACAGTCGGGTACAAAGAGAGGACTTTTCTAGCTACCGAATGAGCTACCCTATTGTTCTCCCGACCTACAAACCACACACTAAACCCCGGGTGGGCACGAAAATATTGACAAATCTCTTCCAGGACTGCCCCCAAGTGACTGTCGCTCGTGCCGGCTTGATTAATCTTGTCAATAATGACCTTCGCATCACCCTCGAACCTAACTTCGTACAAGCCACACTCTAAACACCAGATGATAGCCTCCCGAAGCACAAGCAACTCCACTACCAGCGGCTCAACAATTTGCGCAAAGTGCACACCTTTAGCCCGAAGGAGCGTCCACCCCGGATAAAAAAGAACCATCCCACCAGCCAAGTGTGACCCCCTTCTAGTGGCCCCATCCCACATGGCATAGGAGCACCTAGAAGTATGCAGAATTACGCCTTTTTGAAACCTGAGTATGACATCGATTGTGCCATCCAAATAAGAGATCAACAACCAACCATCGTTAATGAGGCTCATAAGCCATAGCCATAGACTCGCCACTCTCCCTATCGAGCTTTATATATATTCAATTCCATATGAGTTGCGATAGGCTGCACTTCTTCAAAGTTAGTAGAAACAACATCCGTAATGTACTTTTCTTGACCAAGATAGTTACCATCGACGGCGGGACTAATTAACTTCCAGTTCAAAGAAGTAAAAGTGAGAAAACCAACCTCCTTATGGCTAACTGAAGCATCTACTCTTGTAGTAAGATGATGAACACCATCGAAATCATCACCAACATCCATCATATCATCGACATAGTTTAATAATACCACAACTCCCACCATGGACCTAGCTTCAAACAAAAAGAGAAGGTCGTACAAGCTCTGAAAAAACCCAAGACCTACAATTGTACTCTTCAAAACTAGCATATGGTATCGATGAAGTAATGGTCAGCGGTGCTCTCTTAATAGCTGGAAGGGTGCTCCATACAGACAGCTTCATTCAAATCCCCGTCAAGAAGTGAATTCTTTACATCTAACTTAAATAGAAGTGAATTCATTCAAATCCCCGTCATGATACTCTATTACGTACTCTTGACTAAAGCCCGGAGTGACTAGCTAGATGATGGCTCAAATACAAAATCTCTCAAATTATAACAGACTTTCGAGCATGTCAATCCTATGCACAAAGCTGTAGGCCACTATATATGTACTATTGGTATATAAAAGCCACAGTTTGGGTACTGTTCATTAGTGGCCCACACGTTGCCCGTTTGCGAGTGGGCTTCTTCCATTCGTTCGCTCCTGATTCGGCCACGTTGGTCTCTTTCCTTACTCACACAAACACTTCGAACACCTCAATACCCAACGCGCCATGTCGAACCAGAGGTCCTTGGTTTTGCCCATCGGACAACCGGGCTCCTCCGCTGACCTGCCTGCCATCCGCTTCTCCTCTCTGACAAGCAGAGGCTCTTCCTTTCGTCCCGTCTCCTCAACATCGGCACAGGCGCACGCAAACCCTGGTCGTACGCCGATGCACGCCACCCAGAACGCCCCAACTCCCACTTCCTCCTCGGAAATCGCTATGGCTCATTCGTGCTTCTTTGCTTGGAAGACTCCTTTTCACACACACAGCCCATCCCTCCCACAACTTTTACTCCCAAATCCCAAAATTGTTCGGCGGAATTCAAACTCCAGCCGAATCCCGAACTCCCAGGTACGCTGCTGCAATACTTCCCAGTAGAACACCCCTTTCCAATCTCACCTCTCTAACCCTAGATCCGAAATCGCACCGATGCCCCGCAAAGCTACACGGCGACCAGCCCATACCGACGCTCAAACGGCTACAGGAATGGCAGAAACGCCGCCGTCTACGCCGAAAACTGCCCGCCAGCCAAAGAATCGCGGTGCTGCGTCGACTTCCAGAGCTCCTGGGGCCCTCGAACGCCGCAATCGCGCCCCGCCTCCTCCTGCACAAGAAACTCAGCCGGCGCCGCAATGGAACGGTTACAAGCTGCTTCTGGAACTCAGAGACTCTGACAGGGCAGCTCAACTAAAGCTCCGCCTCTTGCACGCATGGAACTCCTATGCGCCTTCTGACCCATCAAAGATTTTCAACTACTGTACCCTGTGGTGCGACGAAGTGGTGAGCTCACCATCTCAGTACCCTACTTTACGCCACACTTACCACCAAATTTACGAAGACTTTTGCCATCTTGCAGGGAACTTTGATCCAAGGACAGGCCCAGCCTGCTCTTGCCGGCCATTTCGGTGACTTGCTCAAAGTTGGCAGGATCTACATGATTTGGGGATTCGACCTGCAACCACCGCGAAACGTCTACAGGCCATGTTCCCATCGTCTCAATATCCTGCTCTCACGAAACACTACTTTTGATGACCAGACAGAGTCCTATCCGGAATTCCTGCCTGACTCCTTCGAGTTTGTTCCTTTCAACTCCCTCCACCCACGGGCACTCAACTCTGCACAGCTCACAGGTTATTCTCCATTGACGCCTCTTTATTCTGTCCAACTCCGACCGTTTCTCATAATAGCTTTACTACAGATGTCATCGGAAGTGTCGTTAGCATTTCAGGAGTCACCTACTCAAGCACCAACCACGGCAGAACAACACGCCAAAACATCGTGCTCGAGAATGAAAGGTGACCTGTTCTTGATCTGGCCGATTCCCCTTTACTTGCTCCAATTTTTACTCCTGTCCGTTACTACTACTCTGAACGTTGCCTGTGTTGCCTAGCAAACTCATACTACAAGCCCTTCGATAGTTGTTTGTACTGCTTTATTGCTCCGGGAAACCTTTGGATTTATGTCCGTTGTGCCACAAGCCTTGCTTGACCATCAGTGTGCCGTTTTGTTACTGTTAATACCACCATTTTTGACGTCAACTTTTACTGCTCTTATCGACCTTTGTTGACTCCTTACTTTTACTTCTTATGAATGCATCAGAAGACCGCACACAATTTAGAATATGTTTATACTTTTTACATGGTTGGTTGACAGTAAACTTACTCACTTTGTTTATGCTCCTTGCCTTCTGCT